AAGTTTCTTCATGGATTGCCGGTTGACCTCCCGTCGCACTGCGATCGATGCCATCATCTTCTCCGTCATCCTGGGGGGACCACACACATGGCAACCTGCAGGCACCGCAGCCAGTTATGGACTGATGCGCATGAGAAGTGCAATGCCGTCCTCAGTACCCTCATCAAAGATTCCGGAGTGAGATGCCGCGTCCACGTGCAAGGCGTACCCGGCACCAGGCAGAACGTTTCCCAACATGGCCCGGAAGATCATCATGTAGGGGACTTTGAACTTCCACAACTGATGGCTACTGGCGGCGGATGGCATGGGTTAATCCTGGACTTCAGCATGTCACATGTGTTTGACAATGATGGAATACCGGACCTCGCTCGGAGCAAACTGCAAGCGGCAGCACAGCGGAAGATCCGAGGGCATCGTAATGCATATGCTCAGCACGTCCCGCCAAAGGCCTTTCTTCCCATCATCGCCAGCACTGATGGCCTCTTGCAGGACGATGCGTTGCGCTTTCTGTGGTGGCTGGCGGATCGCTCGGCGAACAAGGAAACGGCAGCGCTGGATGGTCTCTCGGCCTCGCAAGACGTCTCAGGTGATCCGACTTGCAAACGCATTCGGTCCAGGATCTTCCGTCAGCTCAAGGCCTCCCTGTCCTACGCTGCCATCATCGCGGGTGCATCCCGGTATGCGTCTCATTCCTTCGGCGGCGGCCACCGCGACATCGCTGGCATGGCCGCGCGGGGGACTTGTCCTGCGCGCCGTTAAGTGAAGGTATCAGTTAAGTTTGGGGGACAGCAGTCGGCAGGATTAGGTTTGGTTCTCGCTGTCTTTTCTCTTCTCGCCGTTTAGCCTGTGCGACAGTGTCAGGGTCAAGCCTGATTGTCCTCGTACTGATTTTTAACTTAACTTTGAGTAAAACTTAGCCTACTGTACGCGAATTTAACCTACAGTTACTAACAACGTACAGATAGTAGCGTACCGGACACACCTACTATCTTCTCCTGAGGACGGGATAGTTTTTTTTAGTTTTCTCGCACGAGAAGGATTTAGAGATGCTTGATGCACACATGGCGACGAATGAAATGAATCCTACAAGATATCTGGTTCTAGGCCTGGCCTTCTCTTGCTTTGCAGCTCTGGTTGCCCCTTGTCATGGCTTCGGGATCCCGCCGGCATTGGAATCGTCTCATGCCTGGTTGCAGTCAAACCTGGTTCCCGTCAGGGACCTCAACTTACTAGCATCGCGGTCCCGCTTGTCTGCCTTGTCAGCTACTAGGATGGGCTTAGGTCCGAGGCCCTCACGCAGAATACTGCCAATCTTCTCAGCCGCTCGCGGGCGGGTACGGATCTCAGCCATAAGCTCTGGGAAAGCATATGTCACTGAGGTGTGCGATATGCTGGGGATTGATGCTGCGAATGCGACCTCGAATGTGTATGTTATTGCATTGGAGCTGCAGAAGAAGGACATGGAGAAGGAGCTGCAGAAGAAGGACATGGAGAAGGAGCTGCAGAAGAAGGACATGGAGACGGAGCTGCAGCTGCAGAAGAAGGACATGGAGAAGGAGCTGCAGCAGCAGAAGAAGGACATGGAGACGCAGCTGCAGCAGCTTGCTAATTACTACAAGTGTCAACTGTCATTCCTCACCCAGAAGGTGTGCATCAGGCTTGATTGAAATATGCGGAATGATATTGATGACGCAGG